GGTCCCTGTGCTTTGCTAAGCTTGTTCTAAGTAGGTGCTTTAGCCCACTGAGCCATCTCACCAGCCCCTTCATTTGTATCTTTAATTCTGTCATGTTTGAACTATCTTTTTTTCTATTCCTATTTATCAGTTATGAACTTTGGTTCTCTCCATTGCAGATCTATTCCCCAATTTATTGTTGTTTTGCATGAGGATACATCAGTAATGTACGTGGAATCTCCCCTCCTGTGCCACCCCAGTTTTGTTTGGGGCTTTTTGGCTAGGCCTTGGACAAAAGAGCAAGTTACTCTGGCAAGTATGTTAAATATTTCACCAGTTAGCACCACAGTTTGCCAGACTTTTAAAAATGCTTGAGAAACAAGTATCATTTATATAAAGGTGGAGAGAAAAATATATATAGGAAGTAGGGTGGGGCTCAGTGGTAAAGTCCTGGATTTGATCCCTTGTTTTTATTTAAAAATAAAGCAAAAAGACAAACACACACAAAAAAAGCTAGACATGGTGGTGCACACCTGTAATCCCAGCACTTGGGAAGCTGAAGCAGGAGGATCATTGGGAGTTTGAGACCAGCCTCGGCTACAAAGTGAGCTCAAGGACCGCCTGAACTGCATAGTGAGACCATCTCAAAAACACAAAAAATATTCAATCCCCGGTTCTGCCAAAAAAAATTAAAAAAGACAAAAGACAAAAAATATAATAAAATGATAAATAATAAAAGGATGGATTCAAAGATTAATTGATAAAAGGAAGCTGGGCAAGTTGGTACAGGCCCGTAATCTCAGCATTCGGCAAGCAAAAGTCGAAGGCTCACTGGGAATTTTGGATAATTTGGGCTACGTAGTGAATTCAAAGCCAGCCTGAAGTGCTTAGTGAGACCCTGTCTTGAAACAAAAACAGAAAAGTGATAAAAGGAGAGATTTTTTTCAGCAGGCGTCATGGCATCTGCCCGTGACCCCAGCACTCTGAGAGGCCAAGGCATATATATGTACGGAAGGACAGTTAGGGTAGCACATGGGCAACTTAGCGACTTAACAGATCCCATCTCAAAACACAACATAAAAGAAGGGGCTGGTCCTGTAGCTCAGTGGGAAGGTACAGGGTTCAATCCCTTGCATGAAAGAAAAATAAAAATATTTATTGGATGAACATTAAACTATACCATAGATACTATGTATATATCTATACATAGAATACAGAAAACTTTTCCCTATTTGCCTGCTGGATAGTCTCACCCATGTAAGAATAGACCTTTTTATGCTGCCACCTTCCATTTGCACTTCTCAACTCTGGGTTCTCAGTCCCTTTTTCCTGGTACTTTTGTTTTCTTTAAATTAAGGCCAAGCTGGGGCTGGGGAGATGGCTCAGTGGAATAAGTGCTTCCCTGGCAAGCGCAAGGGCCTGAGTTCAATCCCCAGTTCCGCAAATAAATAAATAAATAAATAAATGAAATAAGGCCAGCCACAGCCCCTCGCCCTCAGCTTGTTAGAGCTGTTGTTCTCAGAAGCATTGTGATTTGGACGCTAGTATTGTAGTCATCCAACTGGTCCCTGAAGGTATCAGGATAGTCAATGCAAGACGTGAGATACTCAGAAGTAGCACTGTTAGGGCTTCTGTAGAGAGAATTCCCCCAGAGATCTGAGGTGCTCATCGGGAGGCTTCTGGAAGAGGCTGGGTAGAAGCACTAGACGTGCTGTCAGGAAGGGGGTCCTGGCCTGGGAGGTAGGGGGGCCTCTCCTGGGGGAGGGGGCAAGAGCTGGAGGGACGTGCAGCTCCCCCCCCCCCCGTGCCTCTGCACTGCCAAGGTGTGCGCAGCTGCCTTGCCCAGACCTTTCCGCCACCACTTTCTACCTTCAAGTCAGCTGGACAAGGGCTTAAAATAAACCTCTCCCCCTTTACATTGTGGGTGTCGGGTATTTTGTCACCATAAGGAGCAAGAGGTGAGTATAATCACTAAGGGCGACTGGAAAAGCAGAACAACGTATTTTAAACAATGGACCATGGAGGCTCAAGGAAGAAAAGCGCTGATTCCCAGCGGAGCTCGGTTTTCACGTGCGTAGCCAGGTGATGGGAGAAGCCCAGCGCCCGGCCTCCGAGCCACTGCCCCATCTCTTTTTCTCTTTTTCTATCTGGAAATTGAGTCTGAGTTACTAAACTGCCCCAGCTAGGCTTGAATGTGAGGCCCTCCTGCCTCAGGTTCCGAGAGCAGATTATCTATGGATGATGGGTTTATAGGTGACTTTATTTATTCCTTTGGTAATTTGTTTCCCAAATTTCCGGTACTAAAATGAACTTACCGAGTTATTTTTGTTTGGTTTTTGCAGGGCTTGGGAGTGAATCGCGGTCCTGGTGCACGCTAGGTACACTCTGCATCACTCAATGACATCCAAGCAAGTTACTTTGATAAACATCACAAGTTGGTGGCCCCTTATAAACGGGACACCATGCACACCTCCCATGTGTTTAGAAGCCCCTGGGATCACCAACAGAGCCAATGGCAATCCAGCAGCAACCCCGAGTCTCTAAAGGATTACTGCTAGAATACTACCCACGTTATCAGGGGCTCTGATAATTTTTCGGAAACATGAACCAGTTTCCCAATCTGATCAAATCTATAGGCTCCTTGGTGAACCAAAGGGATTCTCCTACAAATCCGAAGAACCAATTCAGACCCCCACACGAGGGCATGTTCTACTTGTTGACGTCTGGATTAGACATCTCAGGCCAAGAAGAGCCGCAGGAGGAGCGGCCCCAGGCCCGGGTGGGAGGGCGGCGGCGCGCCAGGCCGAGGGAGCGGGGCCACCGGCGCGGCTGCTGCTTACTTCTTGTCCTTGCCTTTGCCTTTGCCCTTGCCTTTCTTTTTGTCCTTTCCCTTCGGCGGCATCCCGGCTTTCTGGGGTGCCTGGCCGCGCAGCCGGCG